GTGCTTGCAGCGTCTTGCGGTGGGGACAGGACTGGGACAAGCACGGAGAGGGGACCTGAGAGGCTCCCAGAGCGGCAAAAGCAGTAGTAAAAATGTTCAGATTTGGGAATCTGCTCCAAATCTGGCAGGAAAGGAGCCCTTGTCCCTGTGGTGGCACTTGTCCTGACATCCCTTGGGGATGTCTCCCCGGTTCTGGGGGGCTTCCAGGGCTGCCCATGTCTTTGCTCCCCATAAACCCTTTAAAGCCAAAGTAAGAGGTAACTGGTACAGAACTAGCTCCCTGCTCCCCCTGCCTGGTGCTTTGCACCCCCGGCACGGCTGGAGTCTCATTTTGGCAGTTGTGCAGCTGTGACTGGAGGAAAGTGGTCCTTCCCGGGGCTTGGGAGCTATCACCACCATCTAAACAGCCCCTTCCGCAGCCCCCCGGCTTTGCAGAGCCGGGCTGCGCTTGCCCTTCTGCCGGGTTCGCTTCTCCATCAGCCTTTCTGTGTAATCACCAGGATGTTGTGGAGGGAGTGCCTGCTTCGCCCCACTCCTCCCCAGCCAAGCAGCTCTGGAGAGGTCTGAAACGGTGCTTAATGGGGACGTTAGCACGGCCAACCCACCCCGAGCGTTGAAGCGAGCCCGGTTTGTGTCGTGCACTGGACTTTGCTGGTTCTTCCGAGATCCACAGCAGCGAGTTCCAGCCTGACTGCAACCAGGAGGCGAGGGGGGTGTGTGTGTGTCTGCTGCTGACTGGGGGCTTTATCTATATGGAAAATTGAATTAAGGTGATGTTCTTCCTTGTTTGTTTTCTTAAATATTTCCTTTTTCACTTCTGCTGTCCTCACCAAGTTTGGGAGTGAGTCAGGGGGATGATGCCCGATGAAGCCCAGAACAGAGGAGGGGGCTCTGGGCTGTGCTGGTCTAGGCTGGGAGGACCACGGTGCATTTCCAGCACATGCTTTCTCCCCCCTCGTGTGATGCTGGCTTGGGTAAATGAAGGAAAATGGAAATGTTGGTTGGAGATGAGTGAAACCTTTCCTGAGAGCTGTGGTTAGGGGTATAGCCTCCTCTGCCTGCGGGGTTTACACCCTTACCTCTGCTCACTGCCGAAAAAGCGAGAGATCTTTCACTTCCTCTAGTTTAGGAGCAGCTTAGTGCCCCAGGAAAGGCTTTTGCAGTGTGTCTGGGTTGGTGCAACCCCTGGTGTGTCTCTCCCAGAGGGTGAGACCAGCTGCACGTGGCTGCATCCTGCACCGGGCTGGCACAGTCACCAGCCAAAGCCCGTCCCCTCCCAGGTTGCAAAGAGCCCCGAGTCCTCTGAGCTTTACTAAGTGTCCTGTGGGTATGTTACGGGGAGGGTGCTGTGGTGTATCATCCCTGCCCTGGGGCTCCTTTCATGGGCTGAGATGAGCATGAGTGGTGCAGGAGCACAGGGTTGTCTGAAGGGTTTTACTTGATGATGTTGATCTTTTCCAACCTAAATGATTCCTCGAAGAGCCCCGAGTCCTCTGAGTTTTACTAAGTGTCCTGTGGGTGTGTTACAGGGAGGGCGCCGTGGCATATCATCCCTACCCTGGGGCTTCTTTCATGGGCTGAGATGAGCACGAGTGGTGCAGGAGCACAGGGTGGTCTGAACGGTTTGACTTGATGATCTTGGTCTTTTCCAACCTAAATGATTCTGTGAAATAGCATTCCCCAAAAACCCTCCCTTGGAACCCTTGGGGGAGATGCCCAGAGGGGTGAGGGTGTGCTTCTCACAGGGGTGGTTTTTGCCATGTGACCATGGCTGCTCTGGGGGAGCACTGCTGGGACAGCCAAGGGGAACATCCCAATTTCACTCTGGGATGCTGCAATGCAAACAGGTGGATGTAGGAGGCTGGTGAGGAGCAGGCTGTGACCCCCCCATGGCAGCAAGTCCCTTATGTGGTGCCCATGGCCGGCATCATCCTGCGCCCCTGCTCCGAAGCCCGTGCAGCAAGGGTAGTATTTGACCTTCTTTTTGCACAAGCAGCCCCAAATGGGGCTTGGTTTTCATGGCAGGGAGGGGTTTGCTCTGTGCCCAGCATGCCTTGTCCTCAAATTGGTGGTCGTGGCCGCTTTGGAGTGGCCGAGAAGAGTTTGCAGAGGAGCAGAGGAACAGCGTCACCTCTTGGGGTGTCCGCAGCTCGGTGTTTGTCCCCTCTGCCACTCGCAGGATGCCTCCTCCTCCAGCTTTTGGAGTATTTACCGCTGCCTTTGCTGGAGGATGGGTTGGGGGTTTGCCCCCTGGGTGCACCACCCAACCGTGCACAGTGCTGGGACCCCCGTCACCAGCCAGGGACAAAACCGGGGGGAAGCCAGCAAGGGGACAGCTTTGTCCCCTGGCCTCGTGCTTGCTCTGGCTCTGCAGCTCCTCCTGGGCACCCATGGGTGCTGTGGGTTCTGTGGCCATATCCTGCCCTGGCGCTGCTTTCCCACAGCAGGACAAGCTGCCATCACAGCTTGCCCAAGCTGGACTTGAAGCTTGGGGAGCACTGAGTGCTTGTGCACACCCCAGGAAGAGAAGGTGCATGTTTGCTCTCAGTCCCCAAACTGGTCCCCTAGGGACACCTCAGGGGTCCCTGTCAGCTGGCACATGGCTGTCCCCAGGGTTGGGGTGCATGCAGGATACCTCGTGAGCCCCCTGTGACAGGGGACTTGCCATGGCTGAGGATGCTCCTACTGCAGCACTGTGCTCCTCTCCAGGTTTCAGTCCCTGCTCTCCCTCCCATGGGACAGGGAAAAGGGGTCAAGACCATGGGGAGACAGGCAGCCAACGCTTGCCAGTCACCCAGTTGGATCACAGTGTTTGTGTGTTTTTATTATTTTTTTCTGAAGAAACAGGGAGAGAGAAAAATCTCTCTGTCCAAAATCACTCATCCTTCCTAATAATGAGAGCTGTCACCAGCCCTGCTTGGCAAGGAAATGATGCTCGTGGTAAATATTTGGTCTGGAACTGATTTATGGGTGGAAAAAAAGGACATTAGTGGCTAATCACTGTGTTGCAGGAAGCGCTTTGGGCCGAGTGCTGGGGCCGAGCTTGCGGGGAGCTGGGGCCATGCCCGTGCTGGGGGCTTCAGCGGACATGCCGTGGTTGTGCCGCTGGATTGGGATCAAGTGGCAGCAGTGGAGGGGTCGGACCAGCTCTGGGGTCACCAGGCTTCTCCTCACCTTGGTGATTTGCAGATTTGCTTTAAGGACCGGGGGTTTAGGGTTAGGGGCAGGGCATGGCAAACATGGGTGCATTGGCCCCCCGTGGGCTCCAAGCCAGGAGGATTGTTGTTGGACCTGGATGGAGTCAATCATCCGCCCCATCCCTGAGCCCAGCGCACCCAAAGGGGTCGTTACAGCCACCCTAAAGGCAGCAGCAACTTTTCCTGTGTGAGGAAACAATTAACTTATTAGAGGGCGGTTTAATTTTTTCCTGCTCAAGCAGGCTGGTGAGCGCAGCGCGGTCATTTCCTACCGACTGGCAGGGCCAGATGCCCCCGGGTGCTGCTGGGGTCCAGGGCGGTGGGAGGGGCAGGGTCCCGGCGAGGATGGCTCGCCTGCGGGTGCCTGAGCATCTCTGGTTGATGGTGCTGGAGCTGGTACCTGCCTAGGTTTATACGTTGTTGGTTTCCACTGTAGCAGGGCTCACGGCATTTCACAGCTCTGGTTTGATTTTGGGGCCAAATGCTCTGGGTTTCCCTCCTGGGCTGCTACAGGATGGGCTTAGCTGCTGCTGTTGCAGGGATGCTTCAGTCCCCTTCCCTCCCTCTCTGCTCCCATGTTGGTGTTTTGCCTAATTCTAGCGATATAACCAGGAACCGGAGGCAGCGGGTTGAATAAAGGCTGTAATCCAGTTGTGTATCGATGCCGTCACCTGCGAGAAAAGCAGCTCCAGCAGTTCGTGAGCTCCTTTGTGCTTGTGAGCTGTCACACTGCCTGCTCCGTGCTTGGATGGGGGTCTCTGCCCCAAATCCTCCAAATCTCCAAGGCCTGAGCTGCCTTTCCCGGAGACTGCTTCAGGACAGGGCAGTGCTCCTCTCTGCCTCGCACTACTGTGGTGTGGCCAGGGCTGAGCCAGCAAGGCTTATCCCTGCCTAAACCTGCAGCCCGGCCCCTGCGAGCTGCCGATGTCGGTCTGCACTGCAAATCTTTCAGGTTTTTGTGCTGCTTTGGACACATCTGGTCCACCGAAATGATGGCTGGTCCTTGTCACAGTGAAAGACAGGTGGAAAAATGGGCTGATAAGCGAGAGGTGGGCATCTTGTGCTCCTCTGCTCGGCAGCGTTTCATTTCTGATGAACGTTTCCCGGTGCTTAGGCTTGTCCGCACCACGTTCCTGCGCCTCGGTGGGCTGCTCCCGGTGTTTCTGTGGGGTTGCTCACAGCATTAGCCGTGGGCAACACACTCCACTGCAGTTCACCCCTCGGTGGTACTCAATTTCCCTGCTTGGGCCCTAAAATGGATGTAGGTGACACTGAATGACATTAAAATGGGAGCGGGTGCCGAGTGCTGCAGAGTGCTGGTGATCTGGGCAGCAGTGGGAAGGAACTGGGACCACCACGGCCGCGATGCACAGGCAGCAGCATCTCTCCGGCGCAGTAGCGCTGCGAGTGCCCGAGTCTGTTTTAGGTGCTGTAGCAAGCAGTCTGAATCGGCTCTGTAATTCCTTCCTGCCTCAGTTTCCCCCATTTGAAACGGGGCTGGTAGTGACGGCTGGTGTTCTGGGATGCGGCTGAGCTGTCCTGGAGAGCGAGCCTTACCCCAAACGAAGTGTGCTCCTTAATGAAAATTGCCTTTTTGCGATGATGGGGAGAGATTGTAAATTCTTGTAGGTATAGGGGTCTAATTATCACAGAAGTTCGTGGGGTGGCACAGCATCTCCCCACGCAAGCGGCCATCCTACGGGTGCCACCAGTCCCTCCATGCATCGCTCCCTCCTCCCCACTTCTGAGCTACCCCCTCCCCAGTTTCTTACCTCTCTTTTTTCTCCTCCCTTTTCCCTCCAGAGTCAAGAAGAAGAACAAACCCTTAAACCTCAAGATCAACAACACTGTGGGAAGCTGCGAGAACATCCCTGCGCAGCGCTCCCCGCTCCTCTCCGAGCGCTCCCTGCGGTCCTTCTTCGTGGGGTACCCGCCTTTCCTCCCCTCCACCCCTCCTGTCCACACCGAAGCCACCTTCTCAGCAAGTAAGTCCCAGTAACTGCCCCTCCAGAGTCCCCCATCCCTGGGGTGGGTGATGGTCGATGCCAAGCAGAGGATGTGACCGTGGGGAAACTTGGGGCATCCACCTGTGCATCGGTGGTCTGGAGGCACAGCCCTCGTGTTATTATTGAAGGTTATACTGAATATCGAATAATGCAAACAGACCTGCTCCCCTATCGCAATACCAGGGGTGCAGGAGGGTGGCTGCTGTCGTTTGGAGAAGCCTTTCCGTGCTGCCTGGATTGGCGACACCGGCTGGCTGTCGCTTGAGAGTGACTTTTCCAAGGGCTCCTCTGTAAATCCAGCTGTGGTTTTACCTTCCTGCAAGGAAGCTGCTTTTCAGAGCTCCCCTACTTGTGGGGATTTCAGCCGGTGCGGAGCCTCGCGTGACGCCGGCCCCGATGCACACAGGTCTGGTGCAAACCCTATAGATGAGATATCAGTAAGAAATTCTTCAAAGAGAGGGTGGGGAGGCACTGGAACAGGTTGCCCAGAGAAGCTGTGGATGCCCCATCCCTGGAAGCGTCCAAGGCCAGGCTGGATGAGGCTTGGAGCAACCTGGTCTAGTGGAAGGTGTCCCTGCCCATGGCAGGGGGGTTGGGACTGGATGGTCTTTAAGGTCCCTTCCAACCCAAACCATTCTGTGGTTCTATGATTCTATGAAACCCCACAGAGCCTGATCCCCGCAGCCGACCCTGATCCCGCCTGAGGGCCTGCCCGGGGTGGTTTGCCCCCTTCTAGGAGACTCTGGTGACGGGACTTGAGTGGCTTTGGGTCAACGAGCTCACCCAGGGAGTTGTTGCTGGTTGGGGAGCAACAGCCTGACACATATGTCTCGGACTCGTGCCCTGCAGGAACTGAAGCTTTTATGAGCCAGGTGTGGCTCTTGCCTAAACAAAACCAACCCAGAAAATGTGTGGGAGTTGCTGGGAGCGATTTGTGTGCCAAGAGCTATCGTGGGGAGGGTGAGCTCCCCTTGCCTCTTGTTCCTCCAACTCCATATTCAGGCTGGTTTTCTGCCACCTTCACCTTCCCAGACTTTTCTCTCCTTTGCTTTCCCAAAATGTGGTCTTCCTGGCTCATTTTGAGTTCTTCCACTAGTTCTTACTGCGTGGCTCCTGGCTGAAGAAGGGGTTTGCATGCAACATCCCTCCCTGCCCCTCCAGCCTCCCTGGCAGAGGTTTTCCTCCTCACTGGGCAGGGAAGCAGCACCGGGACGGCTTCACCGGCTGCCCCAAGCACTGGTTTGTGAGTGCTGGGGTGATGGGGCAGCTCCTCTGCCCTGCTTGCATCCCCGCAGCCGTGCTTCCCCCAGCCCTCTGCAGGGCAAAAACCTCATGATTTCTTTCTTTCTCTCTTTATACTTTTTATGCCAATCAGCTGCTGTTTCTGGCATCCTTTTGGTCCCCTTTCTTTGGCTTTGGGGATGGTGGGACCTGACAGGAGCTCTGCAGGCTGGCAATTTTATTTCTAGGAATGTCCAGCTACCCGACTCACTCGCACAGCAGCAGATTTGCCTGGAGCGAGGGGTATTTTGGCACTGCTGTTTCCCTCGTGGCGTTGGCTGGGTTCGACTCGCAGCCCAGAATGATGGGGACTAGCAGACCAGAAACCAAGAAATAAACCCCATTCTCAGCAACCCCCCGCCGTGTCTTGTTGCATTAGGTTTCCTCACGCCTCAGCGTTAGATTACATCCCGTGGTGTGATAACCTGATGTAATGTGGCGTCGCAGGAACGTGATGCAATGAGAAGTGATGGGCTATCAAGTGACTAACGCTGCTGGAGAGGTGTCTCTTCTCATTTCCCTCGGTCCTCCAACTTTCTTGGCTGCTGGGAATGTTTGTTTTCTGGCCTTGACATGAGCTGTGGAGAGAGGGGCTTGGCTGCACCAGCCGGTTGATCCCCGTTGAGAGGTTTTAGCATCAGCGGAGGCATTTGGTCCTCGCGGAATCAGCATCCATGCACTCAGTGGCCCTTGCTCCTTGGGACCTGCCGGCAAAATTTGATGCAAGGCAAAAAAAACCCCACTAGACTGTAGTTTTTCTAGCTCTCTTATATTTCTGCATCATTTCTGTACTGGTGGCCTTGTCCTCCAGCTGCATCCTGGGTTTCTGACTGCTCTCATGTTTGCTTTCCAGTTTGTGACCCCGTTGGAAAGACTGGCCTCATCCTGCGCACAGCAGCTGGGTGCTGAGCATGAGCCTGTGGGAGAGATGGGGGTAACTGAGCTTGACACCAGGGCTCGTTAGCTTGCAGAGAGCAGACGAGTTATGCCGAGCGGTGCAGAGGCACATTTATTTGTGGGGAGGAGTAGATATCTCTGGAGCTTTCCCCATGCCCCACGATGCTGTTATGGGACCCGGATGGCTTCCCCCTGCTCTGGTACATGGTGCTTCACCTGTCCTCGGGTCACCTGCTTTGCTATCACTGCCAGTCTTGCTGGTTCAAAGTAACAGGGTTTGTGGGTCCAATGAGAAGTGCTGATTGTAGTTTGGGGGTCACACCTCGCCCCACCTCCTGGGGTATCACTATTGCTTGTTGCCTCCCAAGTGCAATGGTTTCCCACGTGCTGCTGGCTGAGCTCCAGGGAGCTCACCAAGGGTGTGAGCCAGTACATCGTGCCCACCCGGCATCCCAAGGACCTCCCTGTCCCCATCCTTGTGGCATGGACGTGATTTGGCAACCAAGCTCTCCACTATCACCTAGGGTACCTAAGCTTATACGAAACCACCACAGAAAAATTCCTCTTCCTTTTTTCTCTTCTGGGATCAGCGCAGCAGCACCTGGTAAGCTCTGGATCGGTGTGGAATTAGTTCCCTAAGCACTGAAACAAAAAAATGTTGTCGTTGTTGGGCTGAGATGCGGGGGAAGAGCCCGGTGAGCCCTGGGCGAGACCCCTCTCTCCCTGGCTGTCTCTCGATGGTCTCTTTTCAGCAGCCACTGCGTCTTGCTGCTGGTGGCAGGAGCATGCTCCCATCTGCATCATCTTTAGTCCTGATTGCGTACGGGTTTGGATGCTTCTCTCTCATTTTTAACAGCCAATTTGCCCTGACGGGGATGGATTTTCACAGACATGGGGTTGAGAAGGTGAGGGCTGGCTGCGAGCTGCTGAAGGAGCCTCTTTCTCCTGCAGCACGAATCTTGCTGGAGGGTTGATGTTCCCTTCACGCAGGGCCAGGATCCTTGAGAATTTGGTTTTGCATTGATTTTTCCTCAGCAGCCCTTGGAGGGGAAGTAGAAGGAGGGAGGAAGTAAAGACTTTTGGGGTGTCCTTGAACTCTAGCTTGTCCCTGAAATAGCCCAGCCCTGTGTCTGAGGGACAGAAGATGGTTTGTCTGGCTGCATCCAGGTCCCTCTCTTGCTGCATCTGGTCACTCCCAGTGAACAAGTGACCACCAAAGATGGGTTGTTACTGTGAAATAGGATTTAGGACCCAACACCCTGTGACTTGGCTACAGGCAACCAGAAATCAGGTTGGATCTTCTCCTTTTTATTGTAAAGGCTCTTGTCTGGTAGGTCCTGTTTGCATCCTGTTATCTGGGTGTCCTGGAGGTGGCTGGCAGTGCTCCTGGGCTGTGCCCTCTGCCTGTCCTCTCCCTGCTGCAAGGCCAGCGGGAGCACTGTCACCATGACCATCCAGATCAGGTCACCTGCTTGGTGTTCTCTGGGGTGGGCCAACAACATCGTTCCCACCCTGGACTATTTAGAATTAAAGGGTTGGAAAGGAAGGACAAGGAAAGGCTGTGTGTGACTTTGCTGTGCTAGGACAGAAAAATGAGCACCCAGGCACATGGCTGTGTGGGGAACATCCTCGCTGCTGCCCTTCCAGCCCTGCAGAATGAAAGGACCAGCCAGTGCCACCCAACCCAAGACCTTGTGTGTACCAGGAGAGAAAAACCCATTGCCTGTCCCCCATGGCCAACAAATTGAAGCCGTGTGTGAGGCCTCTTCATGCAGGGACGTTGCTGGACACCTTTCCTCTGTGTTGCTGGACACAGTGGGGGGCTCCTTCTGTGGTCTGGGATTAAGACCAGAACCGTGGAGCATCCCTGGTATGTGGAGTTAGGAGCAGTGACCCCTCAAAGCCTTTGTCTTGACCTTGGAGAGCTGGCTGTGGCTGTCCTAAGGTGGTCTCCAGGGATGCCCACCTCCCCTCTCCTTGGCTCCCAGCTGGATGCCTCAGCCCTGTCCAGAACGTCATCTCCATTGTGTCCACAGTTGCCTTTGCTGCTCTGGCTGTGTCCCTGGTGGGTCACTTCTGGATCCCAGTCCTGGCTCTTCCTCTTGGATTTTTCACCAAGGACTTTGCAGTTTATGGTGCTGACCTGCCTCAGGAAGCGGCCCAACTGTGCCTGCCTGGGGCCTTGGTGGTCAACCAGTGACGTCCAAGCAAGCGGCAAGTGCTGAGATGCCACCAGAGCCCTTTGTGTTTCTTTGGCCCCGGCCGCCTGTGAAAGAGCCCTCTGAAGGGCTGGTGTCGGGTAGGAATGGCTGGTGCAGGATTCAGGATAACGTCCAGTGGGTCAAGACCTGCGCTGGGAATCCAGGAGCCCTAAATCCAGGCTTTCTGCGTTTAGGCAGGACCCAAGAGCGTTGAAGGTGCTGTGGGGCACATGGGCAAGCCGGCAGTGCCATTCAGACCATGGCCCCTCTCTGCAGCTGGGGGTACCCACCACCCCCACCCCCCAATGCTGAGGGGAGTTTCATGGGAAGAGGCTTCTCCTTAACCCTGTCCCGGCCCACACTGCCTTCAGCAGGGAACTTCCCCAGCAGGACATCATTTCTTTGTGACCATCAGTGGTTTTCTCCTCCCTGAACCCACCCGGCTGCCAGTACAGGCCACGGTACGAGCACTCCACGGCCGCATTGGCAGCCTGGCTGGGAGCTGCCCACAGCTGCCCACAGCTGGCTGCCTCCCTGTTGGGCTGCTCCAGCCGGCAGTGAAGACACCGGAGGGTTTCCTACCCCGGCAGCGCTGTGTGGAGCTGAAAAATACAGCTTTGTCTGGGTAAGCCTAATTGACCCTGCAAGGCTGCAAATTGGGGGGGAAAAAAATCACAATGCGAGTATTTAAGTCAGCGACATGACATTTCGGCTGTATAAATAGGATTGTCACGCTGCAAAGAGGAACTGCCGGGATTATAAAGTGACTCTGTTTTCTTCCTAGAGAGATGCTCTGGGAATAGCTCTGTTTTCTGCAGCTGCTTCAGCTGATCCTCTCTGCTAGGGCTGAGGTTTCGTTTCCAACCCCTGGATCACCCTTCTACCCGCAGCAGGGATGCCCCAGGGACCTCCCCGGGTTTGGGCCCGGCTGTGATTGCCTGCACAACATTTGCCATGTGCACTAACAGCAGGAGCAGCTTGATTCTCTTTCTAGCTTGGATCCTGCATGGATTTTATACTGTGGGAAGGGAAAGCTGCCGGTGCTGCTGCTCCGAATGTGGCTGCAGCTTCCTCTGGCGCTGCA